TGGTTACCGACTGGTAACCTAACCTATTAATCGGTCGTCAAGAATGTGTAAAATGTTATTAAATTTAATTATTTTGTATCAGAAAACGATGTAATAAATACTTCCACAAAGATTGATTTTCTTTGTTCGTAAAAGTGACAATTATCACCGTCACGCAAACGAATGATACAATTTAACACTTTATCGACCGATATCGGTATCGATCGACGCCATCGCGCGGGAAAATCAAACTTTGTGAAAGTTCTGTCACAGAATAATTAAATCTAATAACATTTTAATGGTGAATTTTAGAAAAATGATTAATTGATATTCGAAATAAACATGTTATTAAAAATATAATTCCAATAATTACATGAATTCCATGAAATCCTGTTAATAGATAAAAAATTGATCCAAAAATTCTATCATTAATACAAAATTTAGTTTCATTATATTCTAAATATTGTATTATTGAAAAATAAATTCCTAAAATAATTATAATTAATAAACTAATTTTTCTATAATTTAATTTATTATTCATGTAATTACAAATCCTGAAGAAATTAAAATAAATGAATTTAATAAAGGAATATCGTAAGGATTAAATATTAAAATATTTTTAGGAGGTCAAATACTACCAATTTCAATATTTGAAGAAATACAACTATGAAAATAAGTTCAAAATAAAGAAATAAAAAATAATAATTCTGAAATAATAAGTAAAATTATATTAAATTTTATCGTATTTAATACACTTAATGTATGACATCCTTGATAAGTTCTTTCACGAATTACATCACGCCATCATTGAAATATAATTATTAAAAACACCGGTCGGTAAAGTGTTAAATTGTATCATTCGGTTGCGTGACGGTGATAATTGTCATTTTTACGAACAAAGAAAATCAAACTTTGTACAAGTGCTTATTACATCGTTTTCTGTTACAAAATAATTAAATCTAATAACATTTTGTACATTCTTGACGACCGATTAATAGGTTAGGCTACCAGTCGGTAACCATTGATGGCAAAATACCGATTTTACCGGTCGGTAATGTGTTAAGAAACGTGTACCGACAGAGCGAAGGTTGTTGATTCTAGTTTTTATTCTGTATACGAAATGACAAATTGTCCCGCGTCTCTAATGAAAGGAGCAACGATTAATTAAGGGGAGACGAATGTAAGTACTTTGCATCTTGAACATTGTTGCTCTACTTAATTAATCGCTACCCCTTTATTGGATAAGAGGAGCTGTTTTCTCATTAGAGCACGAACTTGAACGGTTGCTTTATCGCCGGTGGTGCAATAAACGAGCCTGCACAACGTTCGACCGCCATTTTTGACGGGAGATCTGCTCTGCTTTCAGGTCTAAATTTTATAAAAAGGTGAAATGTAAAATAGTTAAACTCGCGAACTTTCAATTTATTGTGTAGCAACGTTGGGTAACAGTGCTATTTATTATAAGTTCTGATTGTAGAATTCCAATATGGCGCCATCATACTTCTGGTTGTCCCCGAAGTTGGACGAGTACCAAAGTTCGTGATTGGAATAAGAATAGAATATTTGAAACGAAGAAACGAATTCAGAAAAAATGCGATGATTATTTAGAATAATAAAGAGAGGTTAGGATGTTACAAAAATTGGTTATATAGCTTCAGAAAACGTAGCTTGTGGGATGAGGTAACGAGATTTTGAAAGACGATAAGACCAGTGTCTCGAAGTTTCAATTATGACGTTAGGTTGCAAAATTGCAGGAAAATCGCAACAACGCGGAGCTGAAAAAGGTTGCACGGATTGATAGTTCAATCGACGCCCAAGCAAGCTTGACTCATCTCCTTATGCAACAATTCCCAACCTAAAAATTGCTTCAATTTCAATTAAAAAACGACGGTTAAAGTCTGTTGCGTAACGTTCTGTCGTCGAAGCGCAGATTTCGCGATTAATTAATTACGTAAAGAATGCTGAAAATTTAGAAGTACAAGTGTTAGAATCGCGTAAACTTTGGAGCATTTTTTCCAAAACTTTTCTAATTTCTTTTTTGGCTAAAAGTTGCTCTAATCGATGCTGGTGTCGCTATTGGTCGATCTCCGCCAATAGGGACGCAGCTAGCGATTGGAGGGGAGTTGCTAGACTGTGGAGTGGGGATGAAGACAGTAGCTTTCTTTTCGCGAACGAACAGTAGCTGTATTGCAATGAAAAATAGTAGTTTTCACCAAAAATTCCATATTAAAATTCAAGTTTTATTAGAACTTTCGATAGTTAAACACTGATACCTTCGTATTTACTGAAATTTACATAAATATTAGCGTCGAAACATTATAATAGTATTTAGAAACATTGCATTATCTATAGGGTGACCTCCACTAATCTATCGACGCGATTATCTTCCAAGGTAATAGACACGTTAAAAACTTAAGTTGTTTTGTAATAATTCTATTTATTTTTTAACGGTGGAAAGAACGATCGCGAGTAAGATTCGTCAACGTATAAATTGGAGCAACTAGTATCGTATAGATAAGCGATTCGTGTTAAATGAACACATTTTTATTTATTTCCTTCCCCGGCGCGTGGCATACATCATTCTTTATCACGGAAACGTACGCAATAATCGATCAAAACAATTTCGTCTCAATGGAATCAACTTCCCGATAATTTCGACACAGTTTTTATCGCGTCACATGTTATCAAACCTCACCTTCTTTTAATTTCCATCGATCTAGATACTTGTCAGAATTCTGAAAAATACACAATTGTTTTCATAAAAAGATTCCAGTTTTAATTCTTTGTAAAAGTTTCAATAAATCACGATTATTATATTTCGTGGAGATTCTGTTAATTTGAAGTTCTCGTGACTGGAAAAATTGAAGAAACAGAGTGAATAATGCGAGTTCCAGTTCTTGAGAAGTAAAAACACAGAAACAGAGACGGAGCGAATTAATTTGCAAAGGTAATTGGCGGCGGATGATCTGCCATCGAGATTATCGATACTAAGCGAAGATAATGCGATCGACGGTTGCGCAAAACCTTTTGCCTGGCGTTTTGTCTCGTAAATTGTTCGGCGATCGTTATTTCTGTCAAGTTCGTGATCGAGTGCACGCCCCGGATAAATATAGTCAGATCGACAATAATCGTTTCGACAAATTCGAAATTCGATTCACTTTTTATCGATTTCCCGGAAAGATTTTCGAGCTCGTCGGAAGAACAGTGTCACGATGGCGGAATTTAGCGACGATCGGCGAAAAATTGTGACTCGTTCCGTTCTTGGAAAACGCGAAACTGTGTTCAAACTCGAAGCATACGATTTTAGAAATTCGTAGAGCAAAAGAAGATCGATCGTTGAGAATGAAATTAAATTTTATATTTGATTAAATTTAATATCGAGTTTGTTTTGTTTGGAAGATTGAAATATGGTCGAACATTTTTCCTATATGGCAGGCTTTATATAGAATTCGTAGAGCAGCCAAAAACAAGGGATATATCTTTGGTTGCGTAAGACTCGTGATTAAATTTGGAGGGTGAAACTACCCCTTTGATGCTATCTCGAAAGCCACAGGATGCAAGAGACTTTTCTCGTGGAATTTTTCTATGGCGGAGAATAATAAGAAGGCGTCGGTGGAAAATGATCAATAAGCAAATGACAAAAATTATTTTTAACCACTCTCGTGTACGATACGCTCGTTAGACCAACTATTATTCATTGTCGTACGAGGAATATCGCTGCAATCACTCGTTTTATTGTTATTAACCACTTAACGCTTTGACCGGGACCGCACTGCTCTCTAACTGCTTTAATTAATTTTTCTGGAATCCAACTGCAATTCAAGACGATTGTTTTATCAATATTAAAAAATTTATTTCACCATCTGTTTTCGTTAAACGTTCCATACTAAAAATATATTTGTATTTTATAAGATTGATTTGAATTTATTTTGTTGCGAGAGAAAACGAAATTTTTCTTCGATTTGATAAATTCACGAAGAAGATATTGGCTAATAATAAATTTGGATTGTACGTCGGGATTGGTCGGAGAACGTGCCCCGTTTAAGTGCACGCGCCTGCAATCGAACTTCAAAGTTGTGTTTTGGCAAACGAAAACGCAGTGAAATCTAATTCAACTAGGATTTATTTATCCAGAAGGAACTTGCTATTTTCGGTTGTATCGCGTGATTAGACGCGTGGAAGAAACGCAAAATAAGCCATAATGTTTCTTACGTTCGTCCAAGCAAATTGCTCCAAACCATACGATATCAAACACCATCAAAACGAAGTTATTTTAGAGTAAATCTTCTGCAATTAACCTTGGAAGATGTAAAATTTATTTCCAAGCAAACGTTAAACATTGTTTTTGTTTACGCGTGTAAAATAAAAAAAGAACGTAAATTAGTAATTCGACAGGAATTAATATTTGAATTAAATAAATTTTCGCATTTTCTCGCGTTTTTAAATGTTTTACAGTGAATTTCTGGGGGAAAAAATTTTGGTAATGTTAATTCGCCTGGATCCCAACGTTGCACGTTTCATACTGCATATTTTTAGTGTTTATTAATAAAGAAACGTATCTTAAATTGTTTCCTGTTACCGGGCGCATCTTTAACACGCGTTTCAACAGCAAATTCAATAAAAGTCAAGAAGTTTATGCATCTATATACGGCACAGCGGTATTTCCTTCTGTTTACACGATCACTTTCCAGGAGATTAATGTTTTTCTTATTCTCAGCTCTCAACAATTGTTGGACGCCGCGTCATTTTTAGATCGCGGATTTCTCGTAAAACTCGGACCAGTCGTCCATCGAAACACCCAATTCCCAATTCCCAATTCCCAATTTTTCGCTCCCGACGATTTTAATACAAATGATAAATTAACGATGCAACGAAATCGCAACCAGTTCATTTTCTATTGATCAATGCTCAATTTTTAAATTTTTCAATTCGAATAGATACTATTTATATTTCAATGTGCACAGAGTAATTGTTAGGATTGTCTATCCTGGAACACTAACGATATATCTCAAACAACTTACACGAAATTACCACTCAACATGCAGCAACACCATGCACAAAGTATCATCGTAGATCGAAATCTCGAAAAAAGACGAGAAATACCAAAAAGCAAAATAAACGCGAACGGAAATAGTTCTTTTCTCCGGTGTAACGCACAAGGATCAGAAACTGGCCATGCAACGAAGTCTCTGTCGAAGATCGAAGCAGCGAACACGGAGGCTTCACATGCAGGATTCGAAGAACGAAACTACTTCTCCCTTCGTCCTTTGTGGACACGAAAATTGCTATCGAATGCGGAAATACACAACGCGAGCAACGGACAGTGTCCCCGGAGGCTCTCGAAGCAACGGAAGACGCGCAAGAGGAAGAAGTATAGTCGTTTTTCGGAGGATAATTCGCGACAGATTGGAGGAAAAGCGCGGCACACGTTTCGAAACGATCACTCACGGGATGTCGGCGGCAAGTTCGGTACGCGATCCACCCGTGATCCACACGGAACGCGCACGATCGAGGAGTCCGCTAGAACGATCACCGGGGATCCAACGCGAGCCACTGAACACCGTGCAACACTCGAATCCTTCGGACCGGCCGACATTAAGGAAGGAAGCATGCGTCGAGCTTCCCTTTCTCCGTAAAACTCTTCCAAACACACGCGTGCACACCCACTTAAATACACGCGCGGGTGGCGCGTGCGCCCGCGCGAGAACACACACGTCATTCCTTCGCGTCCACGCACACATACACACACGGACGAACAACGGGTCGAGTAAACGCGCGAAAGAATAACATTATTGGGAGATATAGGCTCGGTTTATTGGCGAGAGTACAAAGACCCCCAGGCCCCCGTAAATCGATCTATCAATTACGGGATGGCGCGTCGACGAGAGTCCCGTTCGTCTCGAAACGCGTCGAACAAGGGATGGAAAGTAGCGATGGACTCGATGTGAGTGTTTCGATCGTAAGTTTCGATAGATTCGAACCGTTTCGATGGTGCATCTTGATGTTTAGAACGCGAGAAATTGGCGTGTGTTCAGTTATCCGGGGAATTTTGTTAGGATCTAAAGTTTCAATAGATTTGAACCGTTTCGAGGTTTAAAACACTTGAAATTGTCTTTTTCAGGTTTGTATTGGGTTGGTCCATGTGTTCAGTTATCCGGGGAATTTTGTTGGGATCTAAAGTTTCAATAGATTCGAACCGTTTCGAGGTTTAAAACACTTGAAATTGTCTTTTGTTAGACTTGTATTGGGTTAATCCATGTGTTCAGTTATCCGGGGAATTTTGTTAGGATCTGTAATTTTGAACGATTCGAACCATTTCGAGGTTTAAAACACTTGAAATTGTCTTTGTTACATTTATATTTGGTTGGTCCATGCGTTCAGTTATCCGGGGAATTTTGTTAGGATCTTCAATTTTGAACCGTTTCGAGGTTTAAAACACTTACAATTCTCTTTTGTTAGATTTGTATTGGGTTGGTCCATTTGTTCAGTTATCCGGGGAATTTTGTAAAATCTTTAATTTCGAACCGTTTCGAGGTTTAAAACACTTGGAATTGTCTTTTGTTAGATTTCTATTGGGTTGGACAATGTGTTCAGTTATCCGGGGAATTTTGTTAGGATCTAAAGTTTCAATAGATTCGAAACGTTTCGAGGTTTAAAACACTTGAAATTGTCTTTTGTTAGATTTGCATTGGGTTGGTCCACGTGTTCAGTTATCCGGGGAATTTTGTTAGGATCTCTAATTTCGAACGATTCGAATCGTTTCGAGGTTTAAAACACTTAAAATTGTATTTTATTAGATTTGTATTGGGTTGTTCCATGTGTTCAGTTATCCGGGGAATTTTGTTAGGATCTAAAGTTTCAATATATTCGAACCTTTTCGAGGTTTAAAACACTTGAAATTGTCTTTGTTAGATTTGTATTGGGTTGGTCCACGTGTTCAGTTATCCGGGGAATTTTGTTAGTATCTCTAATTACGAACGATTCGAACCGTTTCGAGGTTTAAAACACTTAAAATTGTATTTTGTTACATTTGTATGGGATGGTCCACGTGTTCAGTTATCAGGGGATTCTTGGTACACCTCCCTGCACTGTTTCTCCGTCGTTTTAAAATGGCAGATCCAATCTACCTCGACTGATTAAATGAAATGCTACTATTCATGGGAAAATTACTCTACTAGAAATGTAAAAATCTTTCGTGTGCTGTTCTGTTAGCAACATAGCCTCTTTCGTGGATTGCAGAAATGTTTCAAGCTAGTATAGTGTCACGACTAAATTCATACAGTGAAATTTGTATTAATCTGCAACTCCAAAGTTATCAACCACAGCTCTTGTTATTATTACAATGAGGAAAACTTCATGATAATCCAAAAGTTCTATCTAGAATATATAGAGAAGCTAGGAAGTAGATAAAGAATAAGAAGGATAACGAAACGAGGGGAGGAAAAAAGAGTATGCTTAGAGAAGAGAGGAGTGGGAAACGGATAATGAAAGAGTCAGAGGGAGAAAATAGGGAGAATATAAAGAAGTTAGAACAGTGGATATACCCAGATACCTAAAGGGGAGGACAAATGAGCGGAGAATGATAAGGATAACAAGATTTAACCTAGGAAATGAAACTCGACGAAGGGTTGTACTGCCAGGAAGAGAAAAAAGGGTGCACTGTTTTGGTAAAAGAAGAAGAAGCACGTGATAAATAGATACAAGATAGATTTTGAAAGACACCAAAGATGGTGATAAGTAGATGATGCTAAAGAGAACGATAGAAAAAACGCCAGAGCTTAGCATATTTTTACATCGAATATGTTTTTCCACGCCCCCTTAGGACTTCCAGGCGCCATCTTTCTAGGGATGGCGCACCCCACTTGGGAAAACACTGATCTAGATGGAAGTCGGCGGCGTTTACGCGGAGTTTCGAACAAATGTTCTGTTTCGACGAAGCTTCCCCTGGCAAACCGAAATTATTCAAACAAGAAGCTCGAAGAACCGTATCTTTATCTAAGAAACTTGGGAATAAATCCACGCAAGAGAAATCGCGAGAGATCAACCGTACGATAGTAATTAATAACACTGAGCCCACTCCGAAGTAAACATATCGAATTATTTTCAACTCCTTTCGCGTCAAGATCCTCTTGAAAATTGTACAGAAAATAATTTTTAGCGAAGAACTTGCAAGCTGGTGTTTTAGAATTTTAAATATATGTTAAAATTTATATAAAGCACGATTAAAATAACCAAAATAAAAATTACAATGTTCCACCATTGCTTTGAACGTCTTATTTATTCACTAAAATTGACCAAATTTTTTACAATGTTTTTGACTATCTATTATACTCTTTAACAGATTTATGAGACACGAGATCGAACGTGTCGGTGATTATTATTTACTTTTCCCCTTATTTCTAGTAGTATCGATCGATATTCGGACCTTGTTCTTTTTCGAAGCCTGCAATTTTCGAGGTTTTAGTTTATCGTTGAATTAGTGATACCGGTAGCTATCGAATTGGGAAATTTCGTGTCTGTTCGCCTCGAACTGTTTTTTAAAAAGCGGATACGTCGAGCAAGGCTCACGGGAGATCGTGACTAAGAGCGTAAACGAAAATACGAATGTCCGTGGGGAAATGAGAACCGTATTTATTTGATCCCGAAGGTTGACGGACTGTTTAGTTACGTTTAAAAATATTTTGGTGACGGATGGGAAACGGCCGACGCGAGGAAAGAGGCACTTTACGAGAATGATAGCGTGCTCCAGTTTCGCGATCAGGGTGCACCGTTTTCGTGATTCCCCCTCGGTTTCCATACTTTTCAGGAAATTGGAAATTGGAAATTCTAGGAAATCTCGTTTAAATATCTCACTTCTTCAATATAAATTTCTATTAATGAATTTCTAAAACGAGGTGAAAAAGATAGAAAATATATTTTTTTCAAAAGTTTGAAAATTCCCTTGATTTTTCAAATAAACGAATCTTCTCTCATATTATATATTATATCATACAGTTTCTATTGTAAAATACATAACATAATGTTAGTAATTCCGTTTATTAACGTTGTTAATTTACAACGAATAAATGAATATACCTTGAAGAATGAATGTTTTAGAAAATCGTAAGATGATGTATTCTTTGCATCGAGCACGTTTCATAAAAGCAAATTACGCTTCCCCGACGTTGATTCGAAAACTGTTATAGGGAACTCGTTCTATTATTACGATTTCATTATAATTCCCCAGCGAGGGAAGAACCGATCGGTAATCCAAACAAGTATGCACGCGTGCAACGTGAATAGAGAGATACCACGTTCCGTAAAACGAGGTTCCTGTTGGGAATAATAAGGCCAATCATCTTCGTGCCACGACACGAGGGAGGAAGAGAAGGAAAACGCAAAAAAATATGACGCCTGGAGGCAGTCGCGTCGAATCCAGGTTACGAGGCACCGCGATCCGTCGCGACGTTTGCAGGAATAAAGCGATACACGAAACAGGAAACAATCGCAATAAAAATCGATCATAGATAACAAAAAAAACATTGATAAATTCTCGTGGACGAACGGCGTGCAGAAAACAGAAAATCGAAGTCTCCGGCAAGGGAATCTGAAAGAAGAATATTAATATTTAGCTCAAATCAGTATTTAAATAAATGAAATTGCACAAAGTTGTATAAAGTGGTGATTCTGAAAAGCTCCAGATTCGAAGAGTTATATTTTTTTAAAGGAGCTGCAAGTTTACAGTAAGAGTTTTTGAAGGAGCACGTTAGACTGTCGAGCAAAACAAATAGCAAACGAACGATTGTGAGCGTACTAATTGCAAATCACACGCAAAAATCCGCACTTTCGTTTCTTGACACGAAAAAGATGTGCTCGCGCGCTACGCACATGACGATCCACGCGAACGCGAGGCGTTTGTTAGATCCAGGGACGCGTACACATCTCATTACGCAAAAATTGGCTGAGATACGCCGGGGGATTTCTAGTAAACGCATCAATCTTCCCATCAGCCGGCCTGACGAGCTAGCAACGGTAAAATACGTACGAGTTCGCATGAGGTAAATGAAAAACAGTTTCACAACGATCTCGGATTATCTGTTACTGTCTACGATAACGAGCAAATTATCTCAACCGTGGCTATCGATACCCGATTCACGTGTACTCTGGATCTGGATCTGGAGTTAGTGACACGTCGAGAGGAATCGATCTATTAATAGGAAGCAGTTTATTTTCGACGGATCCATGGCATGGGGGAAACCAAATTAACGGGAACTACTGTAAAAACACTTGGTTAGATCGTTCATTGTCAATTTATACAGAGATAGATTCCAAAAACGCAAATTGGAACTTTCTGAGGAATCCTTGAAGAGGATGAAAAAAACAATGACGAATAAACGATATGCAATAAGCAATAATTGGGTTTATAACAGTGTCTTCGTACCAGATCTAATCTAAACACAAATTCTCAAAAGATAGATTGAGGAGACATACATCTGAAGAATCCTTGAAGAGGATGAAGAGACCATAGTGTCGAATAAACCATAAATTATTGAGAAATCAAACAGTGTCTTCGTTTCGAATAACAGTAATAAATTACCTAATCTGTTGGGTGCAACTCCAGCCAACTGTGAAGTTACCAAAACAGC